AGCTTAGGAGGTATTATTTTTAGAGGGTGCAAACAAGAGAACTTGCCTCACAGAAGAGTTTTAGCAAACCCCAGTAATTGGATAGGTTTGGCTACCGGAAAGAGGGGCCCCTGGTGGTTCCTGATGAATGCTCCCCTTGTGCACGGGGTGATGCAGTGTGCTGCTGAATAAACACAAGGGGATGAGAAGGTGATAACTACCAGCTTCAGCAGAGAAAGAGCGTGAGAGAGACAGCCTATAAATATGCTGGGTGTCAATAGAAGCGGTCTCATTCTGTCTGCACAGGACTGCCGAGGAGGTCTGACAGGGCAGCGCTACTTCATTAAGGCGTCACAATGGTGAAGAGCGCCTGAAGGGCAGAGAGCGCAGCAGCAGCAGGCTGTCACCTGGGCTGCAGGCTGCAGCTATCAGCAAGCCCAGCCCAGGAGAAAGACAACAATAAACTCCCGAAGACCTCGTAGCTGTGGTTTTCTGTTCCTCTTTCTTCAATACAGCATTTTCCTTTTCTTTCTTAAGCTCCTTTTATCCTTCTCCTCCCTCTTTCTTTCCACCCTGCAGTCTTCCATTTCTATCATTTTGCTATTTCTAGAAAGGATCTCTTCTCTTGAGGGGCCGAACATTTGTAACAAAGGGGAGAAAGGCAGCCTAGTTGCTAATGCAGAGAAGAGAGAGCTGCTCACTGTAGCAGTGTTGGGATATGACACCCCTTTTAGAACAGAGAGGAGAGGCTCCTAAGAGTAGGGAAGTTTGACTGCTCAGAGGGGAAGATTGTTCTAGGGAAATCACCTATAAAACAACTTAAAGAGCTGAAATAATGCTATTTTCCTGCACCTAGTTTTCTTTTTTTATTTGGGAAATAAGTGAATGAAGCCAGGCAGTTCTTGTTACCCTGCCATTCACGGCTCTGTCCACACCCTCAGGGCTTCCCTTTCCTTGTTGCTTGCAGATGTTCATTCCTCCCTTGAAATTACATTTCTTTTTTACAGGACCAGAGAACATAACTCCTGCTCATTTCTCTGCCCAGCTTCTTTAAGTTGTGTCCCTTTCTGGCTGAGTCTGACAAATGGAGCTGCAGCCCTGCTACCCCAATCATTCAGCCATCTAAACTGTGGCTTCTGATTGCTGCATTATCGATCGGACTCTGACCCATCCAGAGAAATGGAAAGAACAAACGATTGTGAAATAAATTTAGTAGTCCTTTTTGGCACCTTCCTTCTCTTCTATGCTCGGTTAGTGCAATACTACAACTATTTATTTTGTCTTTGCAATTTTCAGGAAAACGAGAAGGTCAAGAAGGGGATTTAAGGCAAGCTGCACCGTCTGTCCCTCGATGCTCTGACTTTCACAGCGGCATCTGAGTCTGTCCTCTAAGTCATTGTGAGTGATATATTCTGCAACACTGTTGTAATGTCTGTTACAAATGACCATTCTTTCTCAATTATTTTATAAATAGAAAAAGATAAACAGATTCAAAGTATTATCTAGATAGCTTAAAATAAGGTTTATTTCTAAAAGCAGAATCTCACAGGTTGACATGCTAACTTACACTAGGTTTTTTAGTTTCACAAGTTAAGTGTAGCCTTAATGAAAAAAATTGTTTGCATATTGTTTTTAGTGTTTAGTTCCAGTTTACAAACAATAATGCTAGCTGAGGCTAAACTTTGAAAACACTGTTTGAGAACACATATCCATGCATGGTTCTATGAGTCCAGGTGTGAATTCTGCAATAGAATGTTGAACTGATTTAGGTCAATCATTTTCTAACTTGTGGTGTTTTGTTTTGATTTGCTATTTGAAGAATTCAAGAAGGTACTCATTAAGAAGGAAAGAACTTTGAATGGTTTGGTCCGGGTTTTGTTTAGTTGTTCTTATCTAATGCTGTCAATAGATTATGAACTTCTTAAGGGAAATGTCATATTACTCATCCTACCAGCATCCAGTGGGCCTTCCTTGTTGTTTGGTCATGGTGGCAGAGAGTGATTGTTAGTTGAGAAAAATCTGTTTTAAATATTATAATTTTTAAAACAATACTGAAGTGTATGTGAAGCAAGGAGAGGAAGGAGGCAGGGAAACTCCTAAAAGTATGCCTGACTTGGTAGTAAACTGAATTTTAAACTTTTATTCATAGTTCTTTTTTATTTGTGATCATTTACAAGAAACATATACAAACTCACTAAAGATGCAAAGTCAAGTTAGGAAATTAAAAGACTCCTTAAAAAAATAAACAAATGGACAAGGATACTCACTAGGAGAGGGAAGAAAGTAAAGGAAGAATAAACATTTTCAAATATACGAATGGTAACTACTGAAGGAGTGCTGGTAATGTCTGCTTTCCAAACAAAAAATAAGTCAGAGAAATAATTGATAAATTGTTTTAGGAGCTTTGGAAATGGTACATACTCCACTCCCAGAATACTTTCTTTTCCAGAGAAGGGGAAAATCCAGTGACCACAAAAAATTCAAAACATCACACTGAACAAGCCAGGAATCCCAAGGACCAGCAAATTAAGGCCTGAGAGGAAGAACGCCTACTGAAGCAATTGGGCAATGATACAGTGAAATGAACACTCCCTGTAGACCGTGGCGCTGACGTCATGGTCTGTGTGTGCTTGGCAGTGCTCTCTGGCTCAGAGCATGATTCTGCTGATGTTGAATAGTGCATGAACTACTACAACATTTCTTAAAGGATTCACAGTAACATTTGTGGCTTAAAGCCTACCTACCTTGTCATAGTTTCCTCTTCCATTTTCAATCCATTCTTTGCCAATCTCTGTGTGTTTCTTTAAGGTATAGATAAGTTGTTTCCATTGTAGGTGGGCCCACCACAAACTTGTTCTATAAAAAAGAGGAAGACTGATTAATGCTCTATTAGTTTCTTTGTCATTATTGACCTGACAAGTTTTCTTCTTGTTTTTATTGGGTTTAATGTCTTCCTCAAGCTCTGCATTTATAATTTTTATCAAATTTTTGTCATTAGCTTTTAAATATTTTTTCCCACAATGTCCTTTCTTCCCTTTTCTTCAAGATCTCCAATTACAGGTACGTCAGACCACATGAAGGTGGTGGCATACCTCTCTCATGCCCTGATTGTATTTTATTTCTCTGTCTATCATTTTAGGTTGTTTTCATGCCTATTTCAAGTATATTGCTTTTTTTCTCCACTTCCATATCTGTTATAAATGCCACTCAGTATATTTTTGCATGTCTGATATTGTTGTTCATCTGTAGAAATTAAATTTGAATCTTTTTAGTATCTTCAATGTCTCTATTCTTCTAACTTTTTGAAGAAATGAACATATTCATAGTAGCTGAGTTCATGTCCTTGTCAGTTTATTCTAATATGTCAGTCTGAGTCACTTGGGATTCTTTCTCTTCCTTATAAGTTGTATTTTCTAGCTTTTTTTGTTTTGTTTTGTTTCTTGACAAGATGTGAACTTAAGCTTTGTTAAGTGAAAACACACTTGCAATTAATCTAGAGTTAGTTTTACCCCATTAATGAGGCAAGACTCTTCCGAGATCTAGAGTCTCATGAATCATGAGAATTTCTGGTCACTGGGGAAAGGGGATGGGGTGGAGGGCACTGCTCTCACCTAGCTAGGAGGCCTCCCCTGGACACCCTTTCTCTTATTCTTAGCCTCATGTGAGCTCTGCATATTCTTTCTGTTTATTTCTTGGTAGTTCTACCTATGGTCTCTGCTTGTTTCCTCACTTGCATGGGCTATGGTGCTGCGGTCAGCACTCAGGGGTTAGATTCTGTTGCACATCCCTGGAGTTCTCTCTCTATGCAGCTCTCTTCTTTTGGACTCTGTTTTTCAAACCTGAGACACTGTCTTCTCCTCTACTCTCATCTCCAGCTCCTCACCTTTGGGCTCCTAGGTTCTGCCTGGTTTCCCTTCTTTCCCACAGCTTGGAAGTCTCTCTCGAGGACATGAACTTGAGCAGTGGCAGAGCTCTTTCCACTTGTCTCCTGCCTTTCAGGGACCTCTGTCACTTATTGCTTGATTTTTAAGATTCTTCAAAATCATTATTTCATTATTTTCTCCCATGTTTTTTAGTTTTGGGTGGAGCCTTTCAGGTAAGTCCAATCCCTACATAGCTTCCTGATCAGAGCACAAAACTTTGTTTTGTTATCTTTAAATATTACTTTAATTTTTCTCCTTACCTACATAGTTATAAGGATAAAGTATGAAGGGGTATTCTAAAAATTCATTTATAGAAATTATCTGTAGGTTATTTTTTCAAAGATTTATAGAGATTTATGTTGTCCGATAAGGTGAAATTAGGGTCACTATCCCAAGTGCTTATCTGAGCATTTTATCCAATACAAAGTTGTTGACTGCTTTGTAGCTACCTGTGTCCAACATGCTGAGCCCAGCATGCCAGTGTCCCTCTGCACTGGTGACAGAGGGAGCAGAGACTTTGCTGTGAGCCTCAGAAGACAAGCGCTGCCAGGAAAGGCAGGGATGTCCTTGATATCAAGGTCAGAAGTTTTGAATTCAGGAAAGAGGAACATGAGATGAAGGGACTCAGAGGAGAAAGATGAGAACAGTAGACTCATGCTCTCTCTTCTCATCTCTCTCTTCTTTCCCATTTTTACCCGTGTCAATACTTTGTCACCCTCCGGGCTTTGGACAGTCTTAAGACGTTATCTCTGCGTGGCCTCGGTGCTCTTCTTCTGGCTTGCCCTCTGCTGTGCTCTCACCTCTCCAGGAAGGCCTCCCTGCCTCTGTCAAAGCCCCTATAGGGTCTTAACACTTAACTCTGACACGGCTCTTGGACTGGTGGGCTTTAGTCATTTTATCCTCTATTTCAATTTCAAACTGTATGTTTCTTAAAAGGAGGAATGATGATTTGTATTCTGTATTCACAGGGCTTGGATATGCTGTCTAGCATGAAAAAGATGTTAATAATATCTAAAAGATGCATAAAATTAATGACTTAACCGAAAATAAGTAGAAAAATCAGATTCAAAGGACTAATTCTGAAAAGTTTTCTCATCACTTGTTCACAGGTTAAAGCACAATTCTGGTAAGGCCCTCATGTATTTAATGGTCCAGTAGAAGATGGGATACGTGAAAATGTAAGACATTATTGATTTTTTCTGCTGGGAATTAAGGCCCGGGCGTGTCCATGTTAAATACATGCTCTACTACTGACCTGTACAACCAATCCAAAATGCGTGACTACTGTTCTATTGCTTGAAAGTTTTGTTCAGAATTGAACCTCTTTTCTTATATATAATTTTGTATATAACTTTGATAACTGTACTGCCCTCATAATCACACCAGAGATGATCTTTCTCTTCATGATATGAAGATAGAAAGAGAAAGGCTGATCCAAATCAGGCAGAAAGCCTTTGGCAGGTCCCAATCTATTGGTATCTTGATCTCAAACTCACAGCCTCCAGACCTGTGAGAAATAAATGTCTGCTAGTTAAATCACTGAATCCATGGTATTCTGTTATGGTTGCTTGCACTGACTAAAAGACCATTATTACACCTTTTTAAAAAATTTTTTTGCACCTTTTTTTTAGTATTAACCATTATCTCTTTAATGAGATGTTTCCTGTATGTAGCTCTCCCCTTACCAGTATCTGATCTTTCTTCTAGGTGAACATGTTGCTGGTTATACAGAAGCCATCAAGCTGAATGAGTGGAGAGTGCTAAGATCTTAGCATCATCTTTCATTTTGCCACGTATGTGCACTTAGGTTATCTGATAGGATGACAATGATCCTTTTGATGGGAAAATTTAGAAATTATTTTATTTGAATGACTAAGGATTCCTTGGAAATAGTGTTCAAATAAGATACTTGCTGGTAATACAAAATGACAATCTTTTCCTTAAAAATTGAGGTTAAAGAAATTTTTGTTGTTATGGAGGAAACTAGATGATTTTTATCCCTGTATAACTGAAAGCAGTGAGATAAAAGGCCAAATACTAAGATTGCTTCTGAGACGTATTGTTGTTTCTTTTCCATCTTAGAGAAAGGAATGAAGGGGCATCATTAAACTGGCTGTTGTAGAGCATTCTGCCATTGAATCGAGTGAACCGGGCTTGGCTCACACTGGATATTTTTTTCTCTCTGGATCAAATTATGGTGATGTGGCTGACATTCAATAAATCCTGAGCACAAGACATGTGTCAAGACATGATCTCTATTGTCAAGGAGATATGGTCAAAGTGCTGGGTTCCTGAGATAGCAACTTAGTATGTTTCATTCACTCTTTCATCTCCAGTGTCTATGATGGTGCCTGATCTATAGCACACATTTTATTAAGTATCAAATGAATGAATGGATTCTGTGATAACATAGCAGTGATCTACTAGAAGTGTGGCTGAATTAAGAAATTCTGAAAGTATGGATTGAATATAATTATTTCTACTGGTACTGGACTATGAGGTAAGGAGATTTCTGAGCAAGACTTCATGGAAAACATGGCATTTGAATCAGAGCTTTGTAGATGTAGTGGAAGTTTTTTAGAAAAGTAGAAGGCACTTCAGTAGTTGTTGCGAGCAGTGGAAGGTAAATCTTCTCAGGAGCTAGTCTGATAGTGAAGAGAACAGAGAGCAAAGATGTGAATGAAAATATTATCAGTGAGATTGGACAGGTGGAGGAGATTAAGGATTTATGTGAGAAAATGAAATAAATGGAAATTTCATGCTGCCTGATATGTACAACAGAGCTGTGGAGATATCAGAGAAAACTTCAGTGTGGCTGTGTGAAGGGCATCCTAAAAGGAGGAGCACCACACTACCTTCCTATTTCCTTCTTCCTCAGTTTTTCTGTGACAACTAGCGCATAAGCTCCCCGAGGGACTTGTCTTTCTGTTCTCTACAAAGTCTTCAGTACCCAGGACAGCTCCCAACTCAAGCCTATTCAACTTGCAAATGCTATCTCCAGGGATGACAGTACTGCTTAGATTCTGCCTATATGAGTGGAGTCTCACTGCTTTGCACATAGTTCATATTCTGGTAGACAAGGACTTCTAGGTCCACAATCAGTTCTCTGTACTTCTTCACTTTGCCTGTGCTGGAGTTTTACAGTAAGCGCAGAGGTCAGCAGGATATTGTGAGTGGAAGTAAGATGCTGCACAGATGAGTTTGATTAGGAATCTCATATTACATTTGCATGGCCATAGAAGGGACCTTTCACCATAATAATTCTACTAAGAACTAAAACGGATTGAAAGCCTTATACTTATTAGGAACTGTGCTTAGAACTTTATATGGATTCTTTCCTTTAATCTTCATGATATTCTACTTTTAATTTTTACAACACCACTTATAATTCTTATTTTCAATTTATAGAGGACAAAATTGATGCCTAGTGGTGTCATATAACTTAAAAAGGTCCCATAGCTAGCTTGGAATCCAGCAAAATGTTCTGGCTTCTTATAACAAAGATGTCATGCTAAGGGTGAACACAAGTATAAGTGGTGGTCCTAGTCCCAGTCTAGGAGATAAAGACCTGAAGAAATCACCTCTCCCACTATTCTCTCTTAACCTTCCAGCTTCTCATTGCACTAACCCTGGAGTTTGTTGAGAACACTGAATAACAGACCTCAATTTACAGTTATATGAGTTTCTTTATTTTTGCTGTAAATTTATCAAGTAGATGAGGATGTTTCAATTAATAACTCTGAATTCAATGTAAGTGATGACTGATCAATTGCCTGATTCATGTCCTTTTGCATGAGAAAATAAATTTCTTATGACATTCTGTTCTCAGATGTGAACCAAAAGCAGTCATGCCTAATATCTGTGCTCCTAGCTGTGAGCAAATTCATGGATCCAGAGAGCAGAAGGTCAGAGCACTGAAATGGATGCAGTAGAATTAAGCTGATTTCCATCACAAAGCTTCATATAAATATTACACCAGCTCAATAAGATACTCAATGTTTGGTTTCTGAACCTATTAATATATAATGAGGCTACAATGTAATTAATATCATTTGTTTTGATTTTCTGTTCAATCCGCTTTAGTAATAAGAATGCAAGGTAATTATTCAAAAAGACTTTTCAACAAATGTCAGTTTTCATTGATTAAAAATCAAGTCAGTGCTTCATTTGAAATGATATTTACAAGCACGCTTTAAGCAGAAGTGAATAATTATCAGGTTATTGAACTGCAAGTTATCAGCAAGGAATTATCTACTTTTTTTTTTTTTTCTGCACTAAGGCTTGATCTCAAACAATAATAGATAAACCTGTGAGTACTAAGAAGCATCATGCTTTTTCTTGGAGGGTTTTGATGCTCTCAGTGTCATGTTAAACACACAGTTTCCCTCATTTGTTGGTTGTAAAATCACCAGAAACACAAGTTTTGGGGGACTGGAGCAGGCACCGTTGCTTGGGAGGAATACAAAGACACAGCAAGCCAAATTTCTTCTGTTTTCCTGTGGTCATACCAGAATGCACAGCGGCTGTGGTGAACCAATTCAGGAATTTCTTCTCAGTATAAGGTGCCTTTGTTTTTCTATGTATTTCATTTTCTTTCTTTTGCATAAAACAATGGGAAAGTAGTCTGTCATCTGTTATTCGGAATTGAGTCATTCTGAAATGTGAATTCAGAACCATTTGTTTTTTCTGGAATGAAGGAATGTGCACAACAACCCAACAAATTCAGACTGCAGTGTATTCATATTTACAAAGACATGTGTACACATGAATCAAGTTGCCAAAACTATATACTGCATGGGTTTTAAAACAATGTTCTTTGTGTGACTAACTCTCATGTGGAGTACTCAAGGAAAGTGACAGAAAAACCATTAATGTGTGCTCTTTTTGTTTATTTAATTTATCCTTTGTACTAACAGCCCTTGTACTCTAAGTAATCATGACATTGCGACAACAAACCAGCCCAAAGACCCTTTCTGGTGCACTGCACTTGCAAGCTGGGGAGTCCAATAATAATCAATGAACACATCACATATGGAGTTTGCCAGATATTGAGAAATGCTGCCGAACTAAGTCGGGAAGTGAGTGTGGGGGGTGGGGTAAGGAGCCTTTGTTTGTGATTGGGTTGTCAGAAGAACTTCCTTAAAGAGGTCGGATTTAAGGGAAAGCTTCAAGTGTGTGTGTGTGTGTGTGTGTGTGTGTGAGAGAGAGAGAGACAGACAGACAGACAGACAGGCAGAGAGATCATATAGAATTTAAGGGAAGAGCATTATGGCTTCAGGGAACAGGATGTGCAAAGGTCTTGGCATAGTGCATGGTTTACTGTGGAAGCAAAACAAGAAGGTCTGTGTAGCTGGCACTGGGCAGAATAATGATAGATCTAATGGAGAACTCATGCAGTGAAATCCTGGGTTCCTGGCAGTCCACATCTGTCACAGAAGAGATTCTTTTAGGGGGCAGGGGAGAAAAGAAGAGAGCATAGAAGGGGAGGGGAGGAGAGGGGAAGAAAAAGAAATCTTTCACAACACTTGAAGGCCAGGGGCTGATGATCTGAGAGGTAGCTCATGTCCTTCCTTACGAGGCTTTCCCCATGGGGTCACTAGAAGCTAAGTCACTTTGGCTGATGGCCATCACAATCTAATGAGAATATCATTGCATGTCCGGGTTCTGGGATCCAAACTTTAACCCTGTCTTGTCAAAAAAACCTGCCCAGTCTCTGTCTCTGTCTCTGTCTCTCTACCTCTCTCTCTGTCTCTCTCTCTGTATCTGCTTCTGTCTCTCTCTTTCTCTCTCTCTCCTTCTCTTTCTCTGTGAAAACTGAAAGCAGTAACAGTGTTTTATATAGTTGTATAACTTACAAGGTTTTCAGATATAATTCTGAGTTTTCTTCCAAATTGAGATATTGCTTATCTATGAAAAAAATGAACCAAAATTGTAAGAACATTTTCCTGCTTCCTGAGCTTCAGACTGTTCCAGTGCTCCTTATAGTTTTTCTTGGGCTCTTAAGTGGCAGAAGAGAGTCACATGTTTAATTGAATGACTAAATTAAGGAATTAGAGTGAGGAGAGAAGAAAGACATGAGGATTTATTTTGTATCTTCTCCATCCACAAGGCTTCCTTTGGTGCTAACGGCTCTCTCTGAAGTAAAGAGAGAAACTGTCCCACACTGTAAGCAATCTTCTGTCTGCTTCTGATTCCTTCACATGCATGAATGGGGGATTCCAATAAGTGATCAAGCAGGGATCATGAAGTGCTGAAATTGGGACCCACATGTATTGCAATGGTATCCAAAGAAAATGCTAATTCAAAATATTTCCTCATCTCTTTAAAGAACACCATCTCGAAGTTCCTTCAGAGGTTGAAAGCATCGCAGGGCATATTGCTTTCTTAAGTTACATATTGAAATATAAATTCAACACCTGAAAGTAGCCCAAGACTCAACTAGTAAATGATCAAAAAGTTAGGGGGGATGAAAACCTGGGAAATGTGAAGACCCTTAGTAATTGTATGGTATCAGAAAATCAAATTTTTTGTAATAACAAATTATGATATAATGAGATCACATTAGTAAAATAAGAAGCCCATATGCCTCAGTGATTTAATCTCTCTTCACATAATCTTGCATTGAATTTTAATGAGTATTTTGATTGATAACATATTTAGTTCAAAATAGGTCTTTGAAGACAGCTGTAAGAGTATTAACATTTTAAAGATGCTGTGATAGAAATTCATTTCATTAAGTAGCTGAGAAGAAAAAAAATCACAGTATAAACCTGCTAATGTCAAACATACTGTTATGACCCATCTAGTCCTATTGAGAAAGGGATGATAATGTATCTTTATTGGGCTATTCTTTGAACACTATAGGAGCTCATTTTGCTTATTGAAGAAAACACCAAGTGACACCAGTGAATCAGATACAGTAAAAGCATTAAATTTAAGAGGCGAAAATTTTAAGTAAAAGCTGCCTAAATATAGGATAGCTTTGGTGCCTCAGCTTTTGGTAAAATTGCATTGATTTTGATGGCTTAGGGATTATCTCAGTGGGGCTGCAAATTTCCATCAGTGCCATCCCATAATAATATAATGAAAGACACAAGTGCAAGTTATGTAAGTACTTCTAAAATTTCTAGAATACAAATTATAACTGTGCAAATAGTTGAAATTGATACATTAT